ATTGCCCCATACTCGTATTTTTGTGGCGTCTCCTGAGCAAGAGAGAAAACGAGAGCACAGCGGAAATGTTTGACTCTCTTTCAACTATAGGTACACCCAGAGAAAAAAACACGCACTGACAATCGAATATTTACACGTAGATTTAAATATTTACGAGTGTTAAAATTGGTAAAAGGTATTATAAAATTTTATTTTTATATATTTTATTTAATATTTAAAATAAATAATATATTTCATATCTAAATTGAATATTTTTATATTCAGAGTAAATAATTTCGATCAAATTTAATATTTCTTAAATATTTAAGATTGTCAAAATTGGTACAAGGTATTTTAAATTTTAATTTGAATATATTTGATAAAATATTTGAAATAAATATATTTCGTTCAAATTTAAAATACTAATTTTATGTTTTAGTTTAAAACTAATTTGAATTCTATTTAGTTTCACTTCATTGTTCTGTCATTTTTCTCTGAGTGTATGTATGGGTGCATGGGGGGATGTCGCTTCTGGTCAGGATATGCTTGAGGCTAGTGCGTTTCCTTAATGCGACAATGTTTGCTCAATGTCACAGTCTCTCTACAGTCTCTCTCTCTCTCTCTCTCTCTCTGTGCCTCTGTTGGAGTCTGTGTGACTTCCGTTTGTCGCAGAGCACTTCAAATTCTAAGATACGTATGCGTATATATAGTATATGTACAATAGATACGTATATATGTATATATCTATCCATTTGGTATATTTAATGCCTTAAGCCACTTGACATTGACAGTTATGACACGTGCTCAAGGCTCGATGAAAACTTTTGACTTGCGTCTCGAGGGCGTATACCCGGAAATCCTCATTAGAAGCTCCACTGAAGCGCAGCCGTCTGTCCCTCTTGAGCTTGAGAGCCTTAAAACCTCTTCTGCTGCTGCTTCCAAAATGCAGTGAAAATTCCACTTGAGATTTAATTAAATTGAGAAATAAATTCATAGTTTGATTACAGCTCAAACACTTGCCCAATTAAAGGCATAACAGGAGGTCAGTTTTACCGACAAATAGACAGCACTTTAAATAAATATTTATTTAAAGTAGCAATGGCCAGAAGTGCAAGGCAGCTAGAAGCTATGGGATACCCTGTAGTTTTTATGAACAACGCAGAGGACAGTCGTATGGATTTAGGCCTTGAGTGGGCCAGGAGGAATGCCACTAGAACTGCAGTCAGAGTGGAGGAGAAGGCGGTGTCCTGCAATTAAAGAATCCATGCCAAAATTTAGAGCAGTAGGTCCGAATGATGGACGAAAGCATACGGAATAGCACTGCGGAAAAGCTTAAGACGAAAGAGGAAATGTGGGATACTTCCAAACAGGTGGAAGTGGCAGCTACTGGAACCAAAGTTGAAGGCTGCTAATGAAATGAATGAGAGGTAATCCGGGACGAATCTAAAAATCAGGAATATTTTAGGTTCAATTCAGGGCATAAGGAAAAGTCGAAGGTGTTTAAAGTGTGACATGGGTGCCTAACCAAATGAGGAGGAGCACTCATGTAAGTGCGAGTATGCAGTAGCATACCCTGTGTCTTTCGCTCCCTCGCTCTCTATCTCTATCTCTGTCTCTGGCTCTGGCTCTGGCTCTGTTGCAAGGGCAAATGTATAAATATCTAACTTTTATTTACATTTTCATCTCTCTGTCTCGCCTCTCCCTCGCCTCTACGTAATGGAATGGAATTTCTCTTTGAGCAAAAAATGCTGTTTTCTTCTGTCTGTGTGTGTGTGTGTGTGTGTGTGTGTGTGTCAGTGTTTGTGTGTGCTGCAAGTGTGGGTGTGTTGCATGTGTAGTTGAGATGCTTTGGTCTAACCTTTGACTATACGGCAAATATTCCAACAATTTTGTGTGTGAATTACCCCAAACCTCTCTCCTGCAGTTAACCCCCCCATCCCTCGCTTGGATGGGGCGCCTCCTACTTCAGCTGTTTTGATAATCAAGCGCAAACCTGGAGGTAAACTAGGGAACATCTCTCTATCTATGGATATCTGTGTTTGTGTGTGTGTGTAATCCAAGATGGCAGCAAACCAACATCCGGCTAAGAAGCAGAACCAGTGAGAGAGTGAGAGAGAGAGAGGTGGCAGAAGGGTGTCAGCAGGCAGAAGTGCGAGAAAATGCGAGGAAGTGCCAGAAGTACAAATGTAATGGCAAATTTTTGAAATTAGTATGCAACACGCATCACAGTGGCAGGAATGGCACTGCCACTGCACTATGGGGAATTCCCACTTTAGTCATTTTCTCAAAGTATTAAAATTGGTTTTTTTTTTTTGTAACATATTAGAAAACTTCAAACTTTAAAGTCCAATACCAAAAATGTTATATAACATAGCACTGTTAAGTCTAACAGCTGTTAAAGTCAGCTGTTGCTGTAGAGCACTTGTTTAAGATTGCAATATTTTTGCAGCCTATTTTCAAATGCCACTATTCAAACGCGAAACATTCTTTTTGTAAATTTAGGTAGCAATCACACGGGTTTTAACTATGTAATGGTTGTACTTATACTTTGTTGTTGTGCGTGTTCTATTATTTTTGCAGTGGAAACGTTCTCAAGCCATTTTTTGGAAATATATTTCAAGTTCGTGGAGACATATAAAAAGTTAGGGTTGACAGTGTACGTCTATTGTATGTCGTAGCTAATAATTTTGTTTAAGGCAGTTTGTCTAAATGCCACTTTTGCGCACTATCTGCGCAAATTAATTTTTTGCAGCGGACTTCGGTTTTCAACGCGCAGCTGTTTGAAGTATGGCGCGGGCAATGCAATCAAGAATGCGATTCTGGATTTTTTTTTGATAGGTTATAAAACAATCATGTTTTAAACATGTGCTATATTTAAGGTAAAAGTCAAATTGTGTGCCGAAACTAGAATGCCAAATGGAAAAAATGCATGCGGAACAAAAAATATTTTGAAAAATCATTAAAACTGGTTAATGGCCAACAAAATTATACAAAAGCGACTCGAATAGGAACAATAATCGACAAATTGGTCATCCAAAGTTGGCTTACTTGTTAGGGGTAGGAGCTAAAAAACAAGCAGCAGCTCTATCAAAACTCAGGCAATGTCTTTTGTTGATTCAGCGCAGCATAAAGGCCTTTCCCTTCCCATCGATTTTTAAATCCTCTTATTATGTGAAATTTAAGGCCCATATCAAACTTTTGAGGTTTCCAAGATTAATTAGAAAAACTAAAAAATGTCTATTAATATTAACTATTGTTTCTTTAGCTCCTAATTTCATCAAAATTAAGTTTTTCCAAAGTAAAACTTTATTTTTATGTATAAGGGTATTATAGTCAATAAATATTAATAAAATATTCCAATTTTTAATATTATAAAAAAAATTATTTTTTTTTAAATTTGTGGGGGTAACACGCCTACTTTTCCAAAAATGTTTCTAGGGGTGTACATACTAAATCAAAAACCGCATCGAAAACTTGCTTAGTTTAAAAGTTATTAATTAATACCCAAAATTGGAATTTTCCCCACAGTGCACTGGCTCCTCCACTCTCTCTCTCTCTCTCTCTCTCTCTTACTCTTTAACGCTCGTTAGCTGTCTTTCTTTGTCTCTCTGGCTTAACTTTTATGTGTGTGTTTTTATATGTGTATCTTGTGTGTGTGTGTGTGTGTGTGGGGAGGGGTTTATACCAATAAGCGGCATATTTAAGCTGCTTGTTGGTTTGGTTTTAAGTAATTTTTATAGCCATTCTTTCGTCCTCTCTTTTGTGTGCCCATTTGCCATTAAGTTTATACGATGAAAATGGAGAGAAAAAGATACGGTTTTTTGTTTAAGCATGAAGCACAGAGATATAGAATTAAAAAAAAATGTTAAAATTATCCAAACAAATGCGAGAAACAAAGTACAGTCACAATCAAAATTATCACAACCTGGCGGCTCAACCACCCATTTAGAGCCAATTATAATTGGCAAATATAATTATAGGGCTTAATTTGAGTTATAAGTTATAGCTTTTTTTATTTTTAAATAAAAATACATAAATAAAAAAAGCTCTTGTGCTATATTAATATATGTGAAAAATTTCACATCCTTACAAATAAAATGTATAAAAAAATAGGCACACGTGCCTGCACATCCGCTATTAATTTTTATAATTTTTTTATTGAACATTTTTTCTTCCTGCAGTATTTATATTTAAGTTCGAAACTAAACTAAAAAAAATTAAGCCACACCAAAACTGAGAGAATCGCCAAGAGATAATATACAATGATTCACAGAATGATTCCCAACCCCCCACACCACCCTGCCATTGCAAAACCTTTTTTGCGCACATTTTTTTTTCGCTTCTCTAGTGGTGTTTCTTTTGTTTTGTGTATTGTGTATTTTGTTTTTTTTTTGTTTTTGTTTGGCTGGCATTTTCGAAGCGGTTTATCTGGGAAAAGCCGTCGCTGCCGTCGCTGCAGCGGCGCTGCTTCGTTTTGCTGATCCTTCCAACGCTTTTCAGTTTCCGCTCACTTAGATTCATTAAAACAACTGGCGGCAAAAGTTGTCATGACCTGGGAAATACTCGTAGAAGATGAGACCGGTGGAGCCATACAAATGAGGCTAAAGGAAAACTCTCCCTCTCCCTGCTGTGGCAGAGGGAAAACTCTTCTTAAGCTGTGTCCAATCCCTGGACTCCACCAAACAAAGAAAACAAAAAAACTTTGTAGTTTAAAACTATTTTTTATATGCTTTTCTTTTATACATATATGTATTTCTACCCGCTTTTCCGCCCCATCCCTGCCTTCAGTTGTTGTAGTATTTGTGTACAAGTATTTTATATGAATTTTTAGTGTGTGTGTTTTTTTTTTGTTCTTTTTAGTTTTGTTTCGTTTTAGAAAGAACTTGCATTTTGTGTCTGCTGCTGCTGGTGCTGCTGCCGGGTTATATCTACTGCTCCTTCTTGTCCTTGTGCAAGTTGTCGTCTAACTTATGGCATCTCATTTATCTTCGTAACTCGAGAAGAACGACCAGGACGCCCAGCAGGCCCAGCGAGAGGAAAAGACCGAAGTGGAGTCAAGCAGTTATTGCATTTTGTACATTTTAAATTTTATTTTTTTTTGGTTTGGTTTGGCTCCGACTTATTTATGACCAGCCTTTATCTGCAGTTTTTCTTCTCAAATGGTATATATACTACTGTTAATTTATAAATGCGCCTGGCCGATTCAGGATGTACAGGAATCCCTCAAAGTCGCCATCTTGTGCCGCCTCCAGGGCCTCCGGCCCAAGCGAAAATTCTCGCAGGCTGCCAACGATCTGACACCGCTGAAAAGCATATTGAAACACCATGAGGGCCTCGTAGAAGTGCGACGAACGCACATGTTCGGCCACCAGGCCCATCTTTAGGGTGTCGGTCACTGTGTCGGGCACACTCGAGGCATGCAGCTCGATGTGCTCGCGGTCCGGGTCCATCGGCAGGCGTTCGATCAGTCGCTGCAGGCTTGTCGGTGTATAGCTCATCGATTCAACGGCATCGCTCATTTGGAGGCGAATTATGGGGGCCAGACTCTTGGGCTGTCTTGGATTGGGATCCTGAAAAGGCGGCGGCATCGCACACTCGGGTGCCAGCGCATTCTTGGCCAAGCTAATCAGACTGTGGCCCATTTTCAGGAAGAACCCAAAGGCATTTGCCGCCAGAGCGCCTGCCCTGCCAGGGGTAGGAGTAGGGGTAGGAGTGGCAGGGACATCACTACCGCCACCGTCGCGAGGACGCTCAGGGACCGTGGCAGTGGCAGGGGCTGCAACCCCGATCTTTGGCATCTCCGGTTCTTTGGAGGCCTTAATCAGCTCGTTGAAACGCTGACAGAAATCATTGTCGCGCTCGGGATACGCCTCCTGCATCCAGAAGAAGTGGCGCTGCTTGTCGTTCGCGAATCTCAGCACAAATACACGACCCGTGTTGCACTGGATGACGCGCCGGAATCTGGGTATACCCGGCACTGCCACAATGTCCATTTCGACTTGGCCCGTTTGGCGATCCTTCCAGCAAATGTGCATCTCCTGGCCGATGCGACGCAAATAGAGCAGACCCTTGCGACTATCCGGCTCAACCATACGGTCACGGAGTACCATCAGACCGGCCTTGTATTCAATCAGATTCTTCATATTCGAAATGTTTCACTTGTAATTTTGAGTTGTATCTTTTGTGCTCTGCAATTCGCACGGACACCGTTTTTTTTTTCTTTTTATGGGATACAGCAGCTCTTGCACCGTCTCCGACGTGCTCTGCCGTCCTAGGACCAAACCGGCAATTGACCTTTAATTGCGCACTTAAAAGTACATAAAAACGTGGCCAAGTCCAAGGAGCCGGTCACTGCTGCTTCTTCTGCTGCTGCTGCTTTTGCTGCTGCTGCTGCTGCTGCTGCTGCTGCTGCTGCTGCTGCTACCCCAGAGTGTGTCTTGTATCTATGCTGAGGAATAGTGGTGGGAGGAACAATTAAAATTAAAGCGTTTACTTATACGACTTAACGTGCAGCAATGATGTGATGTTGCCCCCTTACAGTTAAGTCCAGGTCCTTGATTTGCTTTCCCAGCACCAAGTGGGGCTCCAATTCTGATGCTTTAGTGATTATTTGACTTGTGGCTCGAGGAGCTATTGATTCTTGGCTCAATTATACATACATCATTTTTGGAATAATCTTTTCGAATGTACTTTTCATGAGACAAAAGTTAAGCTGTAACCTGGTTAATCTACTCAATATCCTCATACTTCCAATTGGCAATTTATACCCAAAAAATGTATTTCATTTTTTTTTTGATTCATTAAATTAAATATTAAATATTATATTATATATTATATAATATATATTATTTTATATAATATATTATTATATATTATTTAATATATTATTATTATTATATTAATATATTATGTTATTATATATTATATTAAATAATTATTATAATTTTCACGCGTCATTTGCAGCGCCGATAGCCAAAACTATTAGTGGATTTAAATGAGATTTGTCTGGCCATTAATGGGTTTTTAATTATAGATTCCATGCAATGTTTTCTCACTGAAGATACATACATAATATGTATTACATATGCATATCCAAATTTTGTATGTTACTCAAACTTTGCTATTTCAACGAGTTTATTTTTTGATGGCATGGTTCTATTTTTAAACACTATTTTTCTTTGTTTTTTTTAGTGGTTTTAAATGGTTTTAACTAAATTAAAAATCATTATAATTGTGCAAAAAAATAAATAAATACGAATTTTTCCAATTTAATTGATGTCAGAGTAGCATTTAATTTATTTTGAATCGATCAATGCTGGGGTTTAGATTCGATTCAATTCGATTCCGATATGGATTCCCGCTGATGAATTATTCAAGTGCAACGAATTGAGGTTGTGGTGGATACTCTCGTACGAGAGTAAGAACGAGAACGAAAGATTCCAAAACCAACAAAAGGACTTTATTTCTTTCCAATGAGCTGTGTGCATTGCCTTGTGTGTGTGTGTTGTGTTGTGTTGTTTGTGTGCTGTGAGTCCTTTCTGAGTGTTTTAATGATGGAGAAAGCCAGGAAGGCCGGCTGCTTCTCCTGGTGCCACGCGAAACGTTCGAAAGCAATTACAATTTAAGTATTTAATTAGGGAATTACGTGAGCAAACACACGTTCCACGTGTCGAAAGACCCGAGGAGTGGAGTGGAGTGGAGTGGAGAGGAGAGATGTGAAAAGGTGGAACAGCCGTCGCAAGAGGTCGAACAAAATGGAAGGCGGAATGGAAGTGAATAAAAAGGAAACCAACCAACCTCTCCACCTCTCTATATATATAATATATAAAATGAAAATGAAAATAAAAATAAAAAGAGCGTAACGTAGTGGCCCCAATCGACTTCAACATGAGACGATGTGGCATGTGCTACGTGTGTGGCTGTGTGTGTGTGGGGACACACACCTGCTGCCGGCCGCCTGCCGCCCCCATAAATGCCAATAAAAATGAAGCCAATTGCTGTTTCTCCAACAAAAAAGTACAAGAAACATTTGAGGCAGCTACAAAACAATTTGTAGTTTACGCTTTGCGCGTTCTCCAGCTCTTTCGACCGGAACGATTACAGGCAGGCAGGCAGGCAGCATCAGCAGCCAAGGCGCCAAAGGATAAGCATGTCCTGGCATCAGACTGACTTCACCCGCAAATCCCATGGGGTGGCCTCATCGAGAGCACCAGCCCCAGCAAATAGTAAATAAAATCAAGAACTATAAAAAAGCAAACGTAGAATAAAAAGAAAGAAATAAAAGGTGAGCGCTGGAAATTTAGAGACTAAAAGATACCCAAGGCTGAGGCATTTTGGATACTCTCATAGTTCTCTGGGGTAGTTTAGAGACCAAAAGATACCCCAGGATCTGCGTTTAATATATAAAAAAAAAAATAATAATATTAATAAAACAGTTTCAAACATTTCTGTGTCTGCTTTTCCTTGCCAGCTAATTTTAATCTTTTACTTGATAATCAGGGGGAACTTCTGATAATTCTTTATCTCCGAATATCTAGAAAAAGGATTTCAAAGGATTCATCCCTGGTATTTATGTATTATGGGTTTACTCAAAGCAATTGTGTGAGGCTTCCCGACATACCCTTTGCTACTCTCTAAGCAAAGGGAAAATGGTTTAAAAAAGAACCTACAAAAATTGCAAGCGTTATGTTGACAAATGCCCTTACGCGAGGAAACACCGCACCACCACACCACTCACCCGCACCCAGGCACCAACTCCCCTCTTGTGGCAATTTTCCTTCATTTTCAGTTTCATTTTTATGGCTACGCGTCGCATTTTCTTGTGCCACTGTCTACAATATATTGTACGTAGGTTGGGTGCGACAGTTGTAAATGAAATTATCGCCTTTTGACTTTTAACCATCATCAGTGGAAATATTTTGTACGTTTTTCCTTCAATTTATGCTCTGGAAAAATGAGTACCAGCACCAGAACCAGGACACACACTCCTGTTAACGATATTTGCTTTACATTAATTAAGTGCCGCCCCTCATAAATATTATATGGGGATGAAACATTCATATTGCAGGGGGAAATGGATGGAAAATACTCGTATCATTTGAAGATTTCCCCATGAATTATGGCCGATATCAGTATGGGGAATATATGAGGTTTTTATGGGTCTTCTGTTTGTCAATCTCTTGGAAATTTCTTCATTAAACGCAGTTTGTGGCAGTTCTTTAGAAGGAATTTTCAGGAAAAAACGCATAGAAAATTCCAAACAATAAAGACATAAAACTCGAGAGGTATAACATTTGATGAAGATAGCTCACACACCTGTATTTTTTGCATGAAGCTTGAGAGAAAAAATAATACAAAATATATACAGAGATGGGTGGGTAAAAATTAATAAAAAAAAATAAATAAGTTACATATGCATATAGATAGCTTTAAATATAATCTATTTTTGTTTCATTCCTGAACTAATTCAAATCCAAAGAGAGAGAGCAGAACTATTCCACTTAAGCAAACTTTTCCACTGTTTCTCAGTGTGAAAATGTTCTCTAAATATGTTTAGATATATTCGCACATATCTGATCATCAATAATTGAATGACATGGCCACAATTCATTGGGCTAATGAAGATGAAGATGAATATGAAATGAATTAATTAATTGAAATTTGTTTAGGGGTTCCCCCTTCTCCCATTGAGCATTGAATGAGGGAAGTTCAATGAACCATCCGTCTGTCCTCTTCTTCATTCTCTCACCTTTTGCTATCACTTCCTTCATTTATTTTCTTTGCTCTACCTCTGTGTGTATTCGTTGTGTTAATGTCTGCCATTTTTTGTTGCCCACTGTTGCGTCATTAATTCATAAGCATGGAACCTCATTTCACTTGAGGCTTTACTCTATCCTTCTGCTTCATGTTGTGCGAGTTATTTTCGGGGGGTGTTGGAGAGGAATTTCCGTTTAGTTTGCGATGGGTGTGATGGGTGTGATAGGTGTGTGTGTGCGTGTCAGCCAGTCAGCCAATTAAACGAGTGAGACGAGGAGTCAACTTGAAATTAACACACACTTTTCCCCAAAGCACACACACACACACACACACACACACACACACAAACACAGACACGGGCACAAACATTGCCCTTCCTCGCACTCTTACTGGCACTCGCACTCGTGCTCGAGAGCACACACGCACACGCAAGTTTATTAATCTGAAAAATGCGCCTCGCTGCCCTAAACTAATTTCCACCCAAACTCAAACACCACACACGGATGGACGGCACAGAGCCGAAACCAGAACCGAGACGAGGCTCAAACACGCATTCAAGCCGCAGGAGTTAGGCCTTTCTGCTGTCTCATGGAGAGCTGTCTAGATGGCATACCGACAAAAGAGGCCACAGAATACAGCAACCACATGCGTCGAAGTGGCAGATACTCTCACGCAAAAATATACAAATATTAGCAATCTATCATTGAGTTTATGTATCTGCTGGATCTATATATGTATCTTTTGCTGTTTATCTCAATCGTTTACTTCAACTATTTTTTATCCATTTAGCCATCATTATATTTATCTATTTATCTAAATGATTCTGCTATGTATCATTGCCGCTCTTGTAGCCTTTCTTGTGTTAACTTCTATCATAACAATTCACCTTTGTTTTTCTGTTTATTTTATTTTACGTACCTTTATTTATTTATTCCCTAGCACTGCTAGAGATTCCTTATTTTTAAGTCATTTTATTCTTGAGATAATACAAAATATCTGTTGCTAATATTAAACCTTTTTATTTAATGTTTATTTTTGCGTGATTATTTTTTATAAATTTATAGTTTAAATATATACCTATTTTCGTTCCTAGTCATCCTCGCACTCAAATATCTGTTTATCCTTGCATCTACCTTACTTGCAGACATCTTTTTAGACCCATACGTGTCCAGCCATCTATCAAAATCTATCCAACCATCCGTCTCTGTCTATTCATAGATACATCCAAATGTCTTTCATTTTTTTGCCATTCCCCCAAAAAGTCTTCAGTTGTTGCCGCCTGCTGCGAAAGTGTATTTCGATGCTCGTGAGAGATGGTTTTCGCTTCCAGTTTGTTCTACAGACTCCAAAATCAGAAACCCCTTGCCACAGTCACTCTTTATCCATTTACCCTCCCCATTAACCCCACATCAAGGCGGGGGCTCTGGCTCTGGCTCCGGCTCGTGCTCCAAGTGCCAATGCCAGCACACACACTCATGATTGGCGTCAGGTTTTGTTAATTTACGTATTTTTTTTTTTGGATTCATTTCGTGTTTTTTCCACCCTTTTCCCCACCAATTGTTCCACCATTCGTTTTTCCCATTTCCACATAATCTTGCCCAGGAGTTTTTTTTGAGCAAAGGGTATTGGGGTTATT